AGTACCAAGAAACAATGAAGAGAGGACTTATATTTCCTTCAAAAAAGGAGCTTGCTGATTCACGCATAGACCATAATTCTAAGAGGGCAGTCGATACCCTCCAACCAGCGATCTCTAGCGAAGAGAAGCGGGTATCGATCGACACCAACATTTCAACGTCGATCTATACAGACACCATGAAGTTGATCGACACAACCACCTCCACGTCAATTAACACTGTTAAGCGAGACAACATTCATCATGTTACTGTTCATTCCGGTAATGTTCATTGTAGTATTATTCACCCAGGTACTGTTCATCTTGCTACTGTTCATCACGATACTATTCATCGCGATACTACTCACCAAATATCGACCGACACAATTCATCACGTGTCGACAGATACATCTAACCTTCTATCGACCGACACAGTTCATCCCGTGTTGACTGATACGGTTCACTTGATATCGATCGACACAGTTCAATCTATGCAAACCGACACAGTTGACCTTCCGTCAATCGACATACCTAAGTATATCACTCTTATGAGTCGGCGTCCCTTTCATGGATTTCATGACGAGCAACCAATGGCTCATATCGACATGTTTGAAGAACTTGCAGAGTTTATCTTTAATTAAGTCGCTGAAGACTACCACTTCTGCAAACTCTTCCCATACACTCTTGCTCGAGAAGCATCATGTTGGTTCAAGGAGTTGCCACCACAATACCTCAAAACCTGTATTGATATCATGAAAGTAATCTTCAACAAATTTATCTATGATGCTCCAGCAAATCTAGAGATCGAGATAGAGTCAATGACGAGTTATATCGTAGAAGATGATGAACAAGAAATTGGTAATGGTGATACGACTTACACGTCGATCAACACTAAAACATCGAAATCGATCGATACCATGATCCCATCATCGATCGACACTATTCATCAGATGTCAATCGATATTTTTCATATGAACACTATTCATCAAGTCTCGACATACACAACTTGTGTAGAGGAGAAGGTTGAAGTGCTCATACTTAAGTTCGATGAGAATGGAATGTTAAGAGACGAAGAAGGTTGACCTCGCAACAGCTCATGAGTGTTGATTAATGCACATGAAGCTTTGATCCCTGATGTCATTGCTGTTGCTGAGATAAATAACTTTGATATGAACCGTTAGTGGTATGATTGAGGAAGTGAGGACCTTTTCCAAGGTCTTCCTCATGAAGATCCTAGAGACCATATCAAAGAGCTTGAGGAGTTAGCCTCAGCAAGCGAGCAGAACGAAGTGTCTATAAACTACATTATCCGCAAGATTTACCCTTATTTTTTATCTAGAGATGCATTTAGCTGTTTCGGTCAGTTGCAGCCAAGATCTTTAAATTGTTGGGAAGTCATTAAAACCACCTTCCTCAACAAATTTCTTGATGAAGCTGCAGCAGCTCGAGAAAAAGGGATCAACGATAATCAGGAAAATATTTATGAAACGTGGGGAATAAATAGAGAAAACGAGGTTCCAAACTACCTTCTCAAGTACATTATAGCAGTGTGTAATAAGCATCATGGATCTGGAGAGCTGAGCAGAGTAGAAGAATCCAATAATAGTGATAAGAGCTCAGCATCGAACGACACCACGACCTCCGCATCGTTCGACATCTCCTCATCGATCAACAGTTCGTTATCAGAATCAATAGACAGTGTCTCCTCAGAACCAATCGACAGTCCGATCTCACCATCCATCAAGATCTCAACTTAAGCATCGATCAACAGAAACTTTTGTTCCCAATCGGAACCTATTGAGATCCTTGGATGATTAAGTTGTCCTCATGACATACCAGACTCAACATTGAAGAGAACTAATGTATCAAGTTGTTCTCTAACCCTGAACGTAAAGAAAAAGATCACCATGGAAGCTTTCTTGGAGCTAGAAGAATTTTCTGAGTTAGAGAATGGAGAACATCTTTGGGATCGAATTATGATAGGAAAGTCACTCTAGAAGACTTTTTGAATATGCAAGAATGACTTAGGCAGAAGCTTGATGACGATTGACACCCACCCCACATAATCGATCAACAACCTTCTAATTGCATCGATCGGCACCAACCCGATGAGATCTATCGATGCCCACCCAAAGTCATCGATTGACAACCTCTTGATTGCATCAATCGACACCCATGGTTGGAGGAGCTATCAGGATACACATTTGAGATGGAAGACTTCTGGGACGACTTACCTGTTAGTCGTCGAAAATATAATGCGCTAGAAGACTTTTAGGAAGTCTTCCATACGACTTCCAAGAAGTCTTTCTGACGACTTCCAAGAAGTCTTTTAGACGACTTCGACGAAGTCTTCCAGACGACTTCCATGAAGTCTTCCATATGACTTGCAGGAAGTCTTCTAAACGACTTCCAGCAAGTCTTCTAGACGACTTCCAGAAAATCTTCCAGACGACTTCCAAGAAATCTTCCAGATGACTTCAAGGAAGTATTTTGACGGGGTCTTCTCCCATTTCTCTTCCTTTCATAACATATATGAGTGTTTTTCGTAAGTTTTTATGTCTGATTTTTCTTCATTGGGTAGCTCTTGTTGCATAAAGTTCTTACTTTTTACCCAAACTAAAACTCTCCAAACCTACTCTAATCTCTTTGACTTGAAAACACTAAAGTTAATATGAATTTTTCAGCTTTGTCTCATGTCTTTCTCACTAATATATTTTTTTTTTGCAGGCTTTTTAGATCTGGGTGTGATATACATGTTTTCAGATATGTATCAGACTTTGGAAGACTTATGGGAAGTCTTCTCGGAAGTCTTTTAAAATATAATGCGCTAGACGACTTCCAGAAAGTCTTCCAGACAACTTCCGGGAAATCTTCCACACGACTTCGTCCAGGAAATCTTCTTGACGACTTCTAAGAAGTCTTCCAGACGAGTTTCAGAAATTCTTCTTGACGACTTCCAGGAAGTCATCTAAACGACTTCCAGGAAGTCATCGTGACGACTTCTAGATAGTCTTCCAGACGACTAAAATACAATGATCTATATAATAGCTTTCTTTGTGGTCTGTTTTGTAATTTGCATGTGTACTCCTTTAGTTGTGATTTTTTTTTTTTGTAAAATCAGTAATAATGTTTCCCAAGATATAATATATGTGCTAACAATATGTTTACACATTTACAAATCAATGAAATAATACACTTCAGTAGCTTTCTTCACATCTTTGGATCTCCCATATGCAATAATAAACTCCAATGGCCTTCTTCTCATCTTAATAGACAAAAATTTTGGTAGCATCCTATTGATATAGCATTTTAACCCTTCTTCCAACTCATAACAATAATCATCATTGGTGTCTATAACAATAATACTTAAGAGATAGAAACTAACAATAGTAACTAGTCAAAGCATATCACATTATTTATAAGTTTGTGTTGAAAAACTTAGTAAAACTAAGGGAGAAAACATATTTTGAAAATATGAGTTTTACATATCTTGAAGTTGCTTAACACATTTAAAATACAAGTTATCAAAAACTAGCGGAGAAGACTTAAAAACTAGCGTAGAATATTTCCACGGAAGACTTCTCGGATCAGTTAAAAACTTTTATTAACATGAATGTTGGTAACCACATAAGTATCACCAATTATATTATAAATTTCATTCAGTAGCTCTAATATTCAATAATATATTTAAATTAACAAAAAATATATTAAAAATTCGTTATATGTTTAGAGAAAATAAAAATTTTATTAAACTTTGACGCAGACGACATTCACGGAGGTCGTCTTGACGACTTCTAGGAAGTCACCCATTTATGTTAGTTTTGCAATTTATTTTTAGCCTAGACAACTTACATGTAAGTCGTCCACATTTGTTTGATAAAAAAACTCGAGTCGACTTACATGTAAGCCATATAGGGAAAACGGGTAGTTTTGAATTTGACCAGAATGTGTTAAAAATTTGACTTTTCCTGGACGACTTACACGTACGTCGTCCAATCGAAAATTAAAATATGAAAATTTTGTTTTTTCTAGACGAATTATATGGAAGTCATCTTTGTTAGTTTTGAAACTGAAATATTAAACAAATTGTTTTTCTAGACGAGTTACACGTAAGTCGCTTGTTGGATGACTTACACGTAAGTCATTAGTCGGATGACTTACATGGAAGTCGTCCAAGATAAGCAAGGTTTGATTAGATCTCGGAATAAAATCTTGGACAATTTCTATGTAAGCCGTCAGACGGACGATTTACATGTAAGTCGTCTAGAAAAATAAAATTTTTGTTTAATATATTAACTGCAAAATTAACCTGAGATAACATGCATCTAATTCGTCTAGGTATAACAAAATATTGATTTTTTAATTTTCTACTGGACTACTTACAGGTAAGTCGTCAAGGAAAGGTTAAATTTTTGACATAATCCGGTCAAATGGAAAACTAACCCTTTTTCCTAGACGACTTACATGTAAGTTGTCTAGAGTTTTTTTTACATGAAAGTCGTCTAAAAAAAAGTCAATTGCAAAACTAACCTCTACATTGAACACACGACTTCCAAGTAAATCGTCTACCGCCAGATGACTTCCAGGTAAATCATCTATTGCCAGACGATTTACCTAGAAGTCGTCTCGACGAAAATATCTGGAAAAAAATCTTTATTTTATAGTTTCAACCAGTGAAATAACTTGTTTAGCACACATATGTCTTCTTAAAGCACCAAAAATCTCAAACAAAAGTGACCGACCAAGAATCATAAGTTTCAATGGCTCTATGAACCATACAAATTTTAGAATCAAAATCTTGTTTTTTTTGGATGAATATGGGGAGAAAGTGAAAGATATGTTGATTTTAGTTCATAAGAATTGAGAAACAAAAAGTGTAAATCGATTTGAGGTGCATTAAGAATTTCAAATTGGTTGTTTATGGTAGTTCGTATAATGATGGCAATGGCAATCTTGTAAATACTTGAAGATGATGAAGATGACAGAGAAAAAAACCATTTTTGAAAAAGAAAAAAAAAACTAATGACATTTTCGTAAATAATGTGACTTATAGAGTGAATAGGACAAAAAGTTTTACATTACTAGTTTTCATTCTGAAAATAGCCTAAAAGATTTTACATTACTAATTTTCCTTCTTTTTGGTTCATCTTATGTGAATTACTTTAGAATCATTATTTAAAGTACAAAACAGTAGTATAGATACACATATAAGTAGCCAAAAAAAAAGATACACATATAATAAACAACGTGAACAACGCAAATATGGTAAAAAGCTGATAATATATGAAAAATAAGTTTCAAGTATAGATAGAGACTATTAAATTGAAATATCTGTGTATGTATGTATGTATAGAGTATAATTTAAGTGCCAGGCAAGTGGATGACAACGGTGAAGACAGTGACGAGGCCGAAGTAAATGAAGGAGTGAAGAAGGATTGAGTATCCGCTCGTCTCCATCTTCCCAAAGTCTACAAAGTTATTGTTGCCGGGAACCTGAAACATCAATCCCGGTGTCAGAACCACGAACAACACCGTCGCTACAACTGCAGGTATCCACTCTGCCATTTCTCGATTCTTCTCCTTTGTTATCCAGGAAGAGAGAATTTGATAAAGAGAGAAGTTATATCAATAGACTTAAAAGAGAAAAATAGATTTCTTGATAATGAATATCATTTTGAAACCCTTGAGGTTGGTGAAATGTCATATGGTGACGTGACTCACGTGTCAGAAGTCGTAGTGAAACTGTTGGTTGATGCCCCTATGAAGAGATTCGCTAGACGATGGTTGGATGGTCACTCTCATCTCTAATATTGTTAATCATTGCAGTAGTGCATTCGGTGGTCTAGTTGACTCAAAGAAGTTGAAAGTTCATCAAGTGGATCAATGAAGGAGCAATAATACATTTGTGTTTGTATTTTGGTGCGTTTAGTCACTTAAACATATATTTATTTTTGGCTGAGGGCGGACGGGTTTCGATGTGGGGACGGGTTTCGATGTTTTAATATAAATGAGATGATAGGCAATACACATGGGTGGAGTGAACTTTTTATATTAATGTGTGTTCATTTCAAACACAGAATCAATGCCTAAATTTCCGAGAAAATAATTCTCCAAATATAACTTTCGTATAATTATTAATGAAAAGGTTGTACAATAAGTTCTAGAATTATTTTATCGACAAATCTTAAAATCAGCGTCTACGATTACTACTCTAGGAGAATCTCCTCGAAAAATCTTTCAAAAAACAAACAAAGTAGAAATTCTCGAAAGAGTTGATCAAGGCACAACAAGATTGGGTGACCACACGACAACCTAAACTTCACCAGGCCCCGGTCACCATCAATCTCGGTCGCCATATGTCGACCGAATGACGTCAGCCTCGGTCGCTATATGGCGAACGGCTTGGCACAAAGCCCCATTCTTTGCATTTCGCGTACTCTTCTTTGCGGCTGCATGACTTATGCCGCTTACTTCAGAGCCGCTGGAGATGAACTGGATGACCCCGTCTTCTCGGGGAGGTGAGGCATGAGCAGCTTCAGTGGGTGTGGAAACCGAGATTCACACTTGTCGATTTCCGTAAAATAAGGAGAGTTAGGAAAACCCTAATTTTCCAGAGGAACCAGATCTCTGCGAAAGCCAACGACAAGTAACCAAGAACGCGATTAATATGAATAAATTGAAAGATATAAAAAGAAAAACGAGATTGAGAGCAAGAAGGATTCTTATTCCGAATTCACGTAAGAACGGTTACAACGAGAGTTGCCTTAGCTGCGTGAGCCGTCGGCGAAATTCCTAGTTCTATCAATCTAAGACTAAAACCCTAGTTGAGACGCAGCTCGATAACGAAAACGGAAAATTGCCTAAATGCCAAGTTTGGTAGTAAAAGCTCTGAAAACTCGTCCCTCAGACTCTGCCCTATGCCTCCTCCTTATATACTCCTCCTTAGGCGGTTTTAGTCTTTCCATTTTGCTCGAAACAGAATATTTCGGGAACTTTCCATATCTGTCGATCCTTTCTTTTCTTCTGCGGAAATCTTCTATTTATCTTCAAACTTTTCTTTTATCTTCCGTCTGCGAGTAGACCGTCAAAGCGTTATCGTATCTTTGGGTTTGATTTCGTTAACGTCGTGAGATGGGTTTTTATCGTGTTTTAGGACCTTTCGGGCCGTTTTACGATAAAAAACCGTTTTACGACTTTAACGAGACCATTTCCTGATCCGATGCCGTTTTTTTACAATTCTTTCGACATTTTTATTAAAACGCGTTTTTATAATCTTAACGAAGAATCTCGAATAAATCATATCGTTTAGGCGATGCTCGGTGTTTTGATTAACCGTTACCATTTTATACGATTTCTTCGAGTTATTTTCGGGAAAACGGAGTTTTACGGTTTTTATCGTAAAACTCGAACAATAGGACGGATCGAGATGAAACGGGAGACATTTCGACCGTGATTCGGAATACGATCGTGTCGAAGGACGTATGCCTTGAATCAAGGATGTGGGCGATCAAGGCTCGGGATGGTCGGCTCGACGTACGGCGATCTAGTTCAGCTTGGCTAGGTCGCCATGTGGCTAACTAGGCGAAAAGAACCAGTGGGGCAAAGTCAGCACCTCTTAGTTCGCCAAATGGCGATCTAGCCGGGACGGGACTAGTTCGCCCACCGGCGAACTAAGCCGAGCTGGCTTAGTTCGCCCATGGGCGAACTAGTCGGGACGGGACTAGTTCACCCACCGGCGAACTAAGCCAGGCCGGCTTAGTTCGCCGGTGGGCGAACTAGTCATGGGCCTCCTAGTTCGCCCATCGGCGAACTAAGGCAGCTTGGCTTAGTTCGCCGGTGGGCGAACTAGTTGCGACTAGTTCGCGTTTTACGGCTGTTTCGGTTTTTCGCGGTTTTGTAAAACGATCTTCGAGTTTTATAAAAGGATCTTCGAGTTTTATAAAACGGCCTCTCGAGTTTTATAAAACGATCTTCGAGTTTTATAAAACGGCTTCTCGAGTTTTATAAAACGATCTTCGAGTTTTATAAAACGGCTTCTCGAGTTTTATTAAATGATCTTCGAGTTTTATAAAACGGCTTCTCGAGTTTTATAAAAAGATCTTCGAGTTTTATAAAACTGCTTCTCGAGTTTTATAAAATGATCTTCGAGTTTTATAAAACGATCTTCGAGTTTTATAAAACGATCTTCGAGTTTTATAAAACGGCTTCTCGAGTTTTATAAGACGATCTTCGAGTTTTATAAAACGGCTTCTCGAGTTTTATAAAACGATCTTCGAGTTTTATAAAACGGCTTCTCGAGTTTTATAAAATGATCCTCGAGTTTTATAAAACGATTCTCGAGTTTTATAAAACAATTCTTCGAGTTTTATAAAACGATTCTCGAGTTTTATAAAACGATCCTTTGAGTTTTCTAAAATGATTCTCGAGTTTTATAAAACGATCCTCGAGTTTTATAAGACGATTCTCGAGTTTTATAAAATGATCCTCGGGTTTTATAAAATGATTCTCAAGTTTTATAAAACGGTCCTCGAGTTTTATAAAATGATCCTCGAGTTTTATAAAACGATTCTTCGGGTTTTACAAAATGATTCCTTTTATATTTCTGCGGGGAGTTTCGGCCGTTGATTCCGTCCTACCGATTTTGACCCCAACAGTTAGCCCCCACCTCGTAAGAATCTTGAGCCTTTAGCGTAAGGTTCTTGCGATTGGTTAACCAGTTTTAGTTAAGTTAAGCGGAATTAATGGTCGAAAGGTCCGTTGAAAGTGATCTTTCCACTCTCCAGGGAGCGGAAAGCGTTTAAGATTAGGGCTGCGCCTTGTGAAGGCTGCCTACGTACCCTTTTGAGGGGATCAAGCCTTTCGTAGTTCGTTTCGGAGTTAAGGTTCGTATGACCTGTTTCGCAGTGAGACCTTTACGGTCTAGTTATATGTTTATCGAGCATATTGATGTCGATGGCATCTTGACCTTTGCCGGCCTTGAGACTAGCCTCGTAGGCCGTTTGGTCTGGCTGAGCGTGGCCGTTATAGTTTTCGGACTGGCCGTGTGCGGCTCTGAGTCCCTGCCGCTTTTGCGGCTTTATTAAAAATCAGTTTGCGTTTAAGAGCGTGTTTTTATTCGTATGAATGTAGCGGGAAGATTATGAGTTGATATTGAGGGAGGTCCGCAAGTTGTCGTCTCGCATTCCTTTTTCCCTTAGTGTATCGCCTTGTTCGTTTGCCCGTTTTAGGATGTTTAGTAAATCGAGAGAGCGTTTAGATATAGACGAAGAGACATGCCTTTAGGATCTCGATTCATGCCTTGAGACGTTAGCGACCACTGTGCTGGGTTTAGGGCAAGACCTAGGTTTACTTTCGGATTGAGGCTATGCAATGACTAGTCGGCTTTCGTTTTGCCTGTTGCGATTTTAACCTGATTCCATACCGATTTAGAATCCGCGATAGGTTCTCGGCTTATACGATTCGTCTGGTTGGAACCGAGTATCTCACCGGGACCAATTTCTAAGTTGCCCGGAAGTGCTGACCAAAAGTTTGGATTTCTGTTATAGCGCTATTACCCTTGTGTCGGGTGTTCGAGAGCTATCTCTGCGAGATAAATTAAGTTTGTTTAGGACTGTTGCGAGTTTGTTGTGATCAGCAACAAACTTTTTAGGCGATAAATGTTTACGTTGTTTTGGCCTTTGCGAAGGATACATACGTTAAGAAGTTTTGCGTAATTTTATAGTCACGGACGGACTGTTAGGTCTTCCAAGAAAATGACTTTATCGAGGAAGGTATTTATGTCGAAAAACTAATCTCCGGGCGTCTGCGACGTCTCGCAGTGCCGAAAGTTGTTTTTTATTTTATATGCCGCGTTTCGTGTTCGGAACGTTTGCGGGCTCGAAGATGTTGCGCGGTGTTGCGAGGGTTTTGTCTTAACACTGCTTTGTAGGAATACTTTGGTTCGTTTGCGGATATTAGAAATTAAAACTTAAATTCCTATTTGGATGTTAGCTAGTTTTATGATTTGTGCTAGAGCAATTAGGACCGAGAGTTCGTGTAAGTTGTTTCCCCGAACGAAGCATTTTTCGTTACGGTGCTTTGTGAAGTGTTAACCTTCCGAGATTCGTACGGCTTTAGGAGCTCTGGTACGAGTGTTTTCTTATACGTCGGATTTTGTGGGCAACTTGCTTCGGGAATAGAGTGAATCACGAGAATACAGAACTTAGCCGATTTTCGACAAGTTTGCATTATCCGTTGAATGTATTGGCTTGGCGTGAAGGTTGTGTTCAGCCGCACAGCCAGGGTCGTATTTGGTAGAGGATTAGACCACGACAATTTCGTACTATCGAAAGGGTCGAGTCGGTTTGTAAACTTGGCATTGAAGTGAAGCGCGATCGGACAATAGCCAAGTAGCGTTTGTCGAGCTTGATATGCCAAGTATGTCCGTGTCTATAGAAAACGTTTTTCCATTGTATGTTCGATTTCTACGAGGGAGACAGATCCTAAGAAGCTTGATGCAGAGCCCGTACGGAGTCGTTTGCGGGGCGATCTCATTCTCGGATGTAAACGGGAGGAATGAGAGCGGATGCTCGTGAACCGATGGGCTAAAGAATGAGATCTTTCAGATCGTGTCGCGAGGAGGCAAAGTGTAGATTGGCTGCCCAGTGCCGAATTGTATAGCTTGGTTTTTGCTATAAGGAAAGTATTTTCGCAAAACCTGTTACGTTTACTTTCGAGAGTTACTTCGTATGACATGATCCTGACTATACGAAGGATTTCTCGCGTAAGCAACGGGCGATGAATTTAGTAAATCGACGCGACGCATTGGGTTAACAATGTTTCCGCAGATTTTTCGAGAAACCTTTCCGCTTAGTTTTTGATTCTTCGGTGA